ATACGATTTACATATTGGCCCATTACTTGCTGTACTCACTGTACGCAAGCACAGTTCTAGCAGAAGCTTACGCGCAGCAGCAGCAGCAGCGGCAGCGGCAGCGGCTTTCGTCTTTCTCTTCCACCCTCTTCGTGCCTGCAATGTTCGCGCGCTCGCCGAGCTTACGCTCGTGCTGCTGCTGCTGCCGCTGCTGCTGCTGCTGCTGCTGCTCTCTCTCTCTCTCTCTCTCTCGATCGCTACCTGCTGCTGCAAAAGCTCGCTGAAATTGCTGTTTAACTTTGTTTTGCTTCAGTTCGCATATTTAAGAGGAATAATCAGTTTATTATTATTCAATATAGGATCGATTCGTTGTGTTTATGATTTCATTTGTTGCTTTGAGGGTGTCGCCGGCTTCCATCACATGAGGCTGAAGCCTCCCTCGCACTGTTTACTTTTTATTACAATTTTTAGGTTGCTGCCTTGCACGAGGTTGGAGTCGCGTGGGTGTGCCCACACGTGTGTGTTGACCCTGTGTGTCTGCGTGTGTGTGTGTGTGTTCTGACCCTCATTTGCTGACATTTAGTGGCAGTTTTCAGAAAAAATGTCAACATTTCTCCCCGCTCTCTGTGTGTGCGTCATGCTAAACATGTCAACCACTCCAGGCCCCACCTCAAGAGAAAAGTTTTCTCTTTACTTTTATTATTATTATTATTATTATTTGTATACCCTTACCGACCATGCTTTTGGCATCAAATATTTACATCATCCTAGGGTTAATTATTGCCAAATATCGCCAACATTTTCCTATCTCTTCTCTGATTATTTTTTGTATTTTAGTTTATTTTTGTTTGCTGTTTGATTTTATTTATTTATTTAATTTTCGCCATCTGCCTTTTGGCTTGCTTTTAATTTTATGATTATTGTTTTGCCACCCACCCCAGCCCAGCCCAGCCCAGCCCAGCCCAGCCCAGCGCTCTCTCTTCCTTATTCCTATGTCTCTTTTCTTCTCTTCTCTCGCTCCCTCCCTCCTTCGCGCACACCTTTTTGGCCTTGTCTTTGTGGCTGTGGCTGGCTTTTGTTCATTTCTTAAGTGGCGCTTTATAATGTTGACAGTTTTATTGAGGCGCAAAATGTGTTGGTCATTTTTTGCCTTTCTCTTGTTATTGCTTCTCCAATCTCCCCCCAAGGAGCCACCAAACACCAACACAACGACAGCAACAAAATATATTCATTCGGCGCGCTATGACGGCGGAGAGAGGAGAGGATTCGGGGGCTCAGGTTGGGCAGGGCGAGGCCCGTTTGGGTCTGCGGTGAAATGGTTTTATTTGCCCAAGCCCCAAATGATCTGGGGTAAGCCATAGCCCCGGCTTATATCCCTTCATTTGGCAAATAACAGATTTCATTGCATACTTTCGAGGCCAAATTGTTTGGTTAACAAGCTCCTGGCGTATGGCGAATGTCCTTCCTCTTAAGGACTTCTCAGGTATCAGCCAGCTGCGCATTTGTTTTTAGCTTATTCTTAAATATTTTTGAATGCCTTTTAATGTTTTCGTTTTCCCTGCTTCTCGCTTCTCCCGCTCCCGCTCTCTCTCTGTCTTTGTTCTTCTCTGACAAAGTTTCCACATTAGCAAAGAGAAAACTGTGTCATATATTCATTTTTTGTTGCTTGCCTTCATTATCCAACTGCCTGCCTTTCTGCCGATTATTATTACCGTTTGCTCGTTCGCCCTCTTTTTTTTTGTTTTGTTTTTTTTTGTATGATTTTGCGGCTCATTTGGTTTTATGAAAATTTGCACGTTTTTCACGCTTATCATGGCCCCTCCCCCGCACGCTCTTACAAGCTTTGATTGTGCCGAAAAGCCCCTCCAGACCCCAAGACTCACGCACTCCACTCTGCTTCTGCTTCTGCTGCTGCTGCTGCTGCTGCTTCTGTGTGTGTGTGTGTTTGGTTAGGGGTTGGGGCAGACAGCATCCCTTATGTGAGCTTTTGCTTTTATGCTAATTCCTAAAACTGAAATGAATAAATGTCCCTCTCCCTCTCCCTCTCCCTCACTCGCTTGCTCGCTGCCTTTTTCCTTGCCTTTATTATTGTTATGGAAATTTTTATAGTTTCCCCATCATTTAGTCGGTGAAAGTCCCTCCCCGCCAACCCCATCTGGCCACAGACAGAGACACACGGAGAGAGAAAAGCGAACAATGTCTAAACGCTTTTTCAATTCTCAAAAGTTGGCAGCAATTTTTTGTGCATGTTTGGAGCCTTCTCTGTGGGCAGAGTTGAACATTTAATTTTCATTGTGGCCGGGGCAGCGGGCTCCAAACTTGAATATATTATGGGGTCCACCAGAAAAAGGGTGCGAGGAGGGGCAGGGGCTGTCATTTGTTCTGGGAGAATTGTAAGCAATAAATAAAAATTACACGTTGAACATTTTTTATCGGTGCGCTGCGATCTCTCTCTCTCTCTCTTTGAGAGAGTCCAAACAAAGGAGCATCCCCCCGTAACCTTTTGAACCCCCTTGTTGCTATCTTGTAGCCTTCTAATTGGATATGTTCGACGTCGTCTTTGACTTTGGCTTTTGGCTTGAGTTTACGGCAAACAAGGAAGGAAAATCCCTTAAGCGAACGATAGCCACAGCCATGCAGGGGGTGGGTGCTGGATACCGTAAGAAAAATGTCGCTGGCAACTCTTTTTTTTATTTTGTTCGATTCTTTCTTCTGTGGCTGCCATCTGCCAGCCATTGTTGCAGCCCTGCTGCTGCTGCTGCTGCTGCTGCTGGGGCAATCAGAACTTATGTTTACCCCAATTAAGGTGAACACGAGACCGTTTTTGCGATCCAATGAGTTAGAAACAAGATAAAGGACCGAAAGCCTGAACAATAAACCCAAAGAGCTCTAGCCAAGCCCGGGCCCGGGCCCGGGCCCAGTCTCCGTCTCCGTCTCTTGGCTCCACATTCCCGCTGAGCCGTTAGCCGCCTGCTGTCATGCATGTTTATGTGTCCTCATGCTCATCCTAACAACAATGCCGGCACCGAAGAGCAGAGACCCAGGCAGCAGCAGCGGCAGAAGGACCAGTCCTGAATGCCGAAGCAATGATTAAAAATTGTGCAAGCGTGTGGCGGCGGCCAGCGATGTCGATTGTGGTTCAACTTTCAGCTGGAAACTGTGGCATCTCACGGTGGAGGAAAGGGGCACGGATGGGCATGGCCATGGCCAGAGAGACAGAGAGACAGAGAGACAGAGAGCTACTCCATGGCATGGCATGGCGCGTGGGCCAACAATTTTCGATTCAAAAACCAAAGTCGTTCGCTTTTATTGTCATTTGTATGCGTGTAGGCCAGCCAGAGCCAGCCAGACAGAGCCAGCCAGACAGACAGCCCCCATTGGGTTGCCCAGGAATGGAGTTGAGATGCCAGCGTGAGGTGAGCTGTGGCGAGGCGATCGTTTTGTTGTTTTGAGCACAAAGAAACCTACAATGAAATTCGATTACGAAGCTTTAAAGCTCGCGATCTATGAGCAGTGCAAAAAGCGCAAGAGAGTGAATCTCAGAGAGCAAAGCTTTTGCCTCGTGAATCGCGTGACCAAAGCGTTCTGCGTTCCACCTGCTGCAGAGTGGCAGAGTGGCAGAGTGGGAGAGTGGGAGAGAGAGGAGCCGCTTCTGCCTCGAAATACTCATTAGCAATAACGACGCACAGCATTGGGGCTGCCATGCCATACCCCATCCCATCCTAGCTGTGTGTCCATGTCGTTGTTTGTGTCGACGTCTATCTATTGTCAAGCATCAGCCACGCATGCAGCCCACAGATCAAAGCCCATCGAGTGGAATGGAGCGGAGGCATTTTCTTTGCTCCTGGCTCCCGGCTCCCGGCTCCCGGCTACCGGTGTGCAGTGTGGAGTCTGGGCCCTTCCACTATTTACACAGCTCATTTTATCTAGTTCGATTGGCAATTTATCTGAAAATGTTTTGTCTACCCTTTCGCAGGTGCCTTGTTTGGCCCTATAATTGGACCTGGTTCGGGCCGAGAGATTGACAGGGGGCAAATATCGGTTTTTGAATCTTAATTTCTTTGAGCGAACAAACGCAAAATCAAAGAGGCTGCCGTCAACCCAGCTAGAAGTTAACTAACAAAGCAAACTGGGCCCCACTCTTACCTTTCCGCCTGCCGTTTTGGGTGGAAAATTCGCAACAAATGGAAATTTTGTCAAGCTCGAAATCCTTTTATAATGACAAAAGGTTTCCACCTCTAAGCCGATTACCAGGCGGTGCTGGGCCGAGCCTACTCCAAGCAGCCATAGGGACAGAGCGCCTTGTCTCTCTCTCTCTCAGCGGGCGGGCAAAGGAGCCACTGCTAAGGGGAAACTTACCCGGCTGCGGTGCCTACTTATGTAATTAGTTTGAGCGGGCCACAGGGCAGGTCTGCACCCACTCAAGCGTAGGAGAAACTCCGCCGCTGAAAACGAGAATGAGAATCTTTAATTGCCAGTGGCGGCTGGCGGGCGGCAGGTTGCTCCTCCATCTGCAGAAGTCTTAAGCGTCAAGCAGTGCACCATGCGGTCGGTGGGAAGAGGGAAATGCCTCGTTGCTGGCTGGGGTAGCGAGAAAAAGTAGCACCACAAAGAGGAATAACTGAGAGCAAGAGAGAGAGAGAGAGAGTGTTCTAGTCATAGACTTTCGTGCAAGCTTACACGCAGCAGCGGCAGCAGCAGCGGCAGCGGCAGCAGCAGCGGCAGCGACAGCAGCAGCGGCCGTTCTTTCGTCTTTCTCTTCCACCTGCTTCGTGCCTGCACTTTACTCGCGCTCTCCCAGCCTACGCTCTGCGTGCTGCTGCTGCTGCGTGCTGCTGCTGCTGCTAGCTGCGCCAAAGCTTTCTCTCTCCCGATCGCTTGCTCTCGCTCGCTCGCGCACGGGCAATGCGTTGTCGTTCGTTTTTATGTATGAGCAGCGTAAATGCATTTTATTTGTGTGTCAGAAAATGCTGAAGCTTCAGGAAAAACGTTTAGAATTGTAAACGTTGGAAATGAGCTTTCTAGGCATCATCCTCATCGCTGCTGTCATCGATGAAGCGTATCGGCTGTGCCAGCGGCGCCAGCGGCTGAGCCGTTGCATGGGCACAGTACGGACCCCAGAAGCTGGACGGGCCGGCAATGGGCGACTGCTCGGTGCCAACCTCCCGTGCAATGCGTCCAACATTGACCAGCACGCTCGGTGTGCTGCGATGAAGATTGCGGAAATGCTGCCAAATGTTGCGCAGCAGATCGGGATCGGCCGAGGGCACGGCCATGCACAAAGGGCAAATGACGAGGCCGCTGAAGTTGCGATGCTCCTCGTCCACATGCTGCACGAGATCCACTTCCGAGTGGCCCATAGCGCCGCAGACGGGGCAGGTGAAGCTCTCGGCGTTCAGCACTGGCATTGGCTCGCCGGCAAAGTGCAGCCTCTTGGCATCCTCGTCGAGCAAACACTGCATGGCATGTCCCCAGTGATGGTTCAGTGTCACCACCTTCCGGTCATAGCACGTCCGGCACAGATCATAGTCGGCGCACTTCAGGCACTTGAAGCGATAGCCAAGGAGGTTCCCGTTGCCACAACCATCGCAGCAAATGGAAGCATGAGTTGCCATTGCGAGCCTGGAAAGAACCTTAAAAGAAGAGAAAAGAAAAGTCACTTCTAACAGTTGTTTGTCGTGTGCATGATTATTTTTGGCACGATCAAAGTAGAGCTCCCGAAGAGCCCACAAACCCTTTTTCAAACCAAAGCCTGGGCCACTCCGTTTGCCACTTGTTTTGGTTTCGTTTGTTCGCGCTTTGTACATAAATTTCATGCAAATTGACTAATTAATTTCTGCGCAATGGATTCTTATCGTGGCTATGCCACTGGCTCTGGCCCCACCACGTACACTCCTCATATTTGCATACTGCATGTGTATTGGCTCAGTTCCGCGGGGCTCAGCAGGACCCACGCACCTCTGCTCCGCCAGGGCCCTTTTGGGCCTGCCCCAACGGCAGAGGCAAAGGCAAAGGCAAAGGCAACGGCAAACAAAACAGCAAAAAAAAAAGAGAGAAGGAACCATTTTAATGACGGATATTAAGCATAACCACACAACTAAACGGGCAGAGGGAAAGGCGCAGAGGTGGAGGGAGGCGAGTGGGCCATGGCTGGGCAGAAGTGTATAAGGCCTTCGTGCAGGACACGGTGGGAAGGCAAGGCAGACTGTGGCAGACTGACTCGGAACAGGAGCTTTAAGCCTGCCAAATATGCTGATTGCAGCAATAATGATGATTATGTTTGCCTGCGGTGGGGTACCGGGGCACTGGCCCTGCATGCGCAACGCAAATTTGTTGGCCAAAAGCGGAAGGAAGTCGAAAGCATTGACAATGCCAGCGACACGACTGGGGTGCAGTGTGTGTCCTGGCTGCAAGTCTAAAGTGCAACGACAATGACGAGCTGCAAAAGCATTTAACGACTTGAAAATGCGACGTCCAAACCTGACGGACACCAGCACTAACTGACTGACTGACATTCAGCAAATGCGAAAAGGGAAACATTCCAATGGGCAGCCACTGTGTGCGAAGTGTGGGGGCTGAACGGCAGCTTATGGAAATATTATGGCGACAAAAGTAAACAGCGGAGAGTCGCTGCGGAAAATACACTTCCAGGAATTGCAAACTGCAAACTATAGCCGAACATTTCTTGTACTTTTGCACGAGATAAATATGAGCTGAGTCGTTGGGGGCGGGGGGGCGGCATTTTGTTTATTCATTGAGGAGTCTGCCGGGGGGGCACAGCTCAAATATCAGCAACGATAATCCAAAATTCTTGCAGCTGCTCGGGCAGTGTACCAAAAACTGATTGCATTGCGTGCAAACAGTTTTGTGGCGTTTCTTCAAATTAGCCAAAAAGTGAATTGGTTTTTTATGTGCAGCGCAAATGTGGGAACAATTATTCGTGGCTCCTTTTGCATGGGTCGCAGGTGACAGCAGCACTGCCTGGAGCACCCACAGACACTTCTGACCAGCGCCGAGCGCTCCCTCACGCACTCACTCTCCCCCCACTAGACACTTCTGGAGCTCGGCTTTATCTCGAATTTGTTTATGTCTCTGGCGATTGGGGGGGGAACTCACACTGGGGGACAGACGACAGCCGAACACGATCACTTTTTGGGTTGAAGCAAAAATTGCAACTGAAAGTCGCTCATTAGCCTTACGCTTGGGCTGTGATGTTTTTTGATTAGCTTTTTGTTTTTCTGTCATTATTTAGGTGATTTCTGGATGGTATTTTTTTGTTCGATGGTTCGATGATCATCTTTGAGGAGTTGCAGGCAGTTGACAGTTGGCCACGGCACTTTGAGCTGTTGATTTATTTATGCTGCAGATTCTGTGCTCTGCTGGCACTTAATTCAATTTATATTCGACTCGGGCTTGAGACCCCCTGGGAGTTGCCGTGTTGCCTGTTCGCTGCTCTGTTTGGTTGCTGCTGTTTGGTTTTGTGGCCATTAACTGGTGGCTCTGGTGGACTCCGCTTCGATCTGTGCACCGGTCGCGACCAGTCGATTGGCAAACATTTGTTGGGGCTTTCGACTTGCACTTTGCAGCCGTGGGGAAATCAGTTTAATGGAAATTATAGCATTCGATTGCATTCCAAGGCAAGTGGCTTCGGATTGCCCAGAAAGTATGCAACGAAAATAGAAGACATTCGGGCTAGAGGTAGACACAGGGGCTCAGCCGTGGGCATGGAGAGCTCCTCTCTCTCTCTCTTTTGTGGAACCATTTAAGTGACAAAGCAATGGACAGCAGGAACTGTGCAACACACGGGAGAGGCTAGTGAGGAAGGAAGGAAGGAATTCTTTGCCCGAAAATTACATTATCTAATCAGAGATTTGCTCCTGATTAAAATGGACAAATGGCAGAGAGACGCTTCGTTCTGTGGCATTCTCGTTTTGTTTTTTGTGGAGTTTCGATGAGTTTATTGTGTGCCGTTTTTTTGGCACTTCCGTCTACGTGCCGCTGCCTCCTGCTCTCTCTCTCTCTCTCTCTCTCCCTCCCTCTGTGTGTGTGAAGGTCAGGCCTGCCACTCGGTCCTGCTGCTGCTGCTGCTGCTGTCGAATGTCGACATTGAGTTTAATGAAGTGCAACGAGAATTGGTAGCTATTGAAATGCATTTGCCATGTTGGATGTTGAATGGACAGGCGGGGGTGGCATGCATGGGTGCGTGCACCTGTACTGCTGCTGTTGCATCATCAAGTGCCGTTAAACATGCCACACGCATCATCAAAGTGAAAATGCCGCAAAAACCCACCAACGAAAAAGGTGAAATGAAAGAAAAACAACGAAAGTTGGAGCCGGGCCGCGGCCCCTGCCTCCCGCTTAACCCCTGAGGCCTTTGGCCAAAAACTGTTCCCACTCTGCCCAGCTGCTGCTGGGCTGCTGCTCGGCCACTGTTAACCCACTGTTAACCCACTGTTAACGGCGCTGCCCGCTGCCCGCTCCCAGCGCCGGCGCCTGCGCCTCCACAACCGAGCCACTTCGGCTGCCGCTCGTCTGCGCTCGGCACACGTCAGCCTCGTCAATGTCTAAAATTTAGCACAGGCTCGGCTCGGGCTTTTAGCACAGTCGCGTTTTAGCCCACTTGCTGGCCATTCAACGAGCCGCACTGCCCAGCAGCGGTGCTGCGACGCGACGCCAGTTCCTGGCTCCAAGCAACAATTTTACGAGCATTTTTCGGCGCTGCTGCTGCTGCGCCTCTCCTCTTGAGCTGCTTGAAATTCTATCTTTATGAAAATGCACTTGTCAGCGAAAAATATTCCTCCCCCTAAGGGGGAGAAGGGATAAGATGGAAATGCACTCGAAGTGAAGTTGACTTGGAGTCGGTTTCGGTTCGTTTGTGCCCGTGTCAACTTTCCTCTTTTGGCCATCAGCGCCCGTTTGGAAAGTTCCTTCGCCGCTCATTACCGTGCCGCTTATGATGATAATTCTTCTGGCCAGAGAGGGGGGGGGGTTCTGGGGTGGAGTTCTGACATGAAACTGTAGTTTTTGGCCATTGTAAACATTCAACAAGGCCGCAGAGCCACGAAGTTTTCCGCCCACTGCCACCCAAATTTAAATGGCGAACATTTAGGGGCAAAGCAAAGACATTGAAGTGCCCAACAACCAAAAAGGAGTTCAGAAACGTCTTTTGAGTCTTTCAGTTTGAGTGGATTTAATGGGCAAAATTGAATAAAATAAAAAGCAATTAATTACAAAATTAACGTGGGAGATCCAGGCATAGATGTGGCAAAGAGAAACTGTTTTAGAGAGGGAAAGAGCGCAGAGAATTGTAGGCCACAAAAGTGCAGCAGAAAATAAACAAACAACAAACAGACTTCGTGGGGTGGTGCCCCTCCTGTCTGAGAGTTTGTGCAACAATTTAGTTGCCATCAAAATTGGGCGGAGACTTTGTGTGCTGGGAATCAAAATGAAATGCAAACTAGATTGGAAAAGGGTTCTTAATGCAAATTACAATTATAATAAGTAATAAATAAGTGTAAATATCGAAATATACCGACCGCAGCGGTTTCGCACGCAATTAACATATTCGCAGCGAAGCGCTGGAAATGTTTCGCATATGGATTACGTGGGTTGCATGCCACGGACTGCCTGCCACTGGCGCACTGCAGCGTTCTTTTGTCCTTTTTGCGCTTTTTAATTACTTGTTTTCCTTGTTTTTCGTGGCACGTTTTCCTTTTTTATTCAATTACTTGTACAAATTGCCAACAGACAGCATGCGAAAAGATATGCAAGAAAACAAAAAAAAGGCATTTAAAAAATATAAAAAAGTCAGCGTGGATGTCGTGTGGGTTCCATCTGGCAAATTCTGTTGAAATGTGGCAATTTGTATGATATTCCAGGCACACTCGTCCCACAGCTCTGCCTCGTCGAATTAAACAATTAACAAGTGTAATTGATAAACAATTAGCGGCATTTTGAGCAACCAAAACAAAATGCGCCACAATAAATACAGTGAAAAATGATACCCCGGCATTGTCGGGAGTGTCCGGAGCAAAAGAAAACCGAACAAAACCGTCCTCAGTCATAACTCAACTCAAACTAAATTAGTTACTAACTAAACTGTAGTCCCCAACTCATATTTATCGCCTGAAAATATCTCGAAAAGCATTTTAATTTATTTGCAATTTTTCGAAACTTTCAACAAAATAAACTAATAATAAATCGTAAGCAAACTTGTGCATAAAGCAGCTTCACATTTATTTAAATGAATAAATATGAATCAAAGCTGAGTGCCACAATTCGCTGTACCAGCAGCTGCCAGGGTACTTTTTATTGACAAAAAATAAACATAGATATTGCTGACGATGGGCCGCGCCAGAGGCACCCTCAGACAAACAATTCGCAGAGGCGTTAATGATCGGCACAAACATCAGACGAAGGGGCAAGTCGCACAGATACGAATGTATAGCTGATGTATTGACATTATTTGATGTCCGATATGTGCTGGGGCTGGGGCTGGGGCTGCTGCTGGGGCGACAGGCAGAGCTGCCAGTTGGCTCAGCGAAAAATCCCCGAAATCGAACAAAAAATTATATATGAAAATTTCAATGTCTAATGACAATTTATAGACATGGCC